CAATTTATTTAGAAGTTTAGAATATGTGCAACAACTTAAGCACAAATTCTCTTGAAATTCTAAACAAATTAGGAATATCTCTTAAATTCTCCCAAGTACTTTAGAATATTCCTATATGTCATACCAAGACTTATTCTTGGATTATACCGGTATCATTCGACATGCTCTATGCATATGATCTATCTAGCCATCATGCATAATCATGACATATACGATTAATCTAAGTGCATCAACATATTGAATACAATCATATTATCTAGTTCAAAATATTGTACTAGCATTCCGAGGAGTGCTCAAAATCAAGTCATGTGGTATTTGAAAATATAACTCTCTTAGAGTTCTTTATCTTAAACTGTTCAGGATCCTTGAAAATTAATGCAATTTTACTTAATCCTTTAAGTTGCCATGATCTATATATATATATATATATATATATATATATATATATATATATATATATATATAGATATATGTATGTATATATATATATATGTATATATATATATATATACATATATATATATATATATATATATATATATATATATGTATATATATATCTTTATTCCAGGAATTTGTATGTCAATCACATATATGACTAGGAATGTTACTGCATTTCCACTAGCTTTATAGAAACACACGAGTCATCTTGATTTATAATTAAATCACACTATGTAATTATCATATAAGAAAGAAGATTCTTACTACGAGATGTTAGCTTAAATCTGAAAAGATTATCATTCATGGATGTTTTCTCCTTTGAAAAATCACTTACTCTTTATATTTATAATATATCAAGGAAGATCAATCCAGCCCATTCTTGATTATTATACATGAATTCAACTCTATGTGTTTCATTAGTTTCTGACCAACTATTGAGCAGATTAAACAACAGTTCAAAAAATTGCTAGTTCGAAACATTCATGCATTTAGCTTATGGCTCTTTAGCTCTTATAGTTCCATATTGCTCCAACTTAGAAGAAGAACCTTGTAATAACTTGTCTACTGGAATGAAAATTGATGGGATTAGTAGAGACTTCATCCTAAACAATCATTTAGTATAATCCACATAACCGCAATTAGTAGTTTCTAGAGTGATTAAGCTTATTGTCCAACATTAGCTCCATAACTCCATACCTATTATACAAGGATACACCATTACATCCTTAATCTAATGAAAGTATTTAATCTACTTGTTTGGTTGGAAATATATATTTAATATATATTTGTTGCGGTGAGCATAATAGTTCTTTAAAACATCATATAATAGACAGTAAGGTCTATGTTTTATCCACCTAAAGAACATGTACTATCAACATTCAACCAGTGGCCAAGTAACCGTATCCAACTAGAGAATACCAAGGCTACATCAAACATCAAAAGACAGATCCAAGTGATCAGGTGATCCATGTGCCACAAGAACTATACTAATGACAAGTGAGGATTTTTGATGGAATGAGTTATGAATCGATTTCACAACTCCTAAGATGTTCCAAGAAGACCTGGTTTACAAAAACTCATATTCTTTATCACAACCAAAGGTTAATGATAGTCTCATTAATTTGTATTTCAATATTGTCTATGAAATAATTTGAGTAAATCAGAAGTTTCCTAAATAACGAATAAAAGACGTAAGTGACATTGATTAAGTATCTATCACAAAATATATTCATCGATTGAGAATATTGCATACATCACTTATGTATAATTCCTTGTCAAGCTTTTTGTTCTTTAACTACTAATATATAAAGACACTTGCGAACCATCTTTCCATATAAATAGGAATCACATATATCAAATGAATAAAGCTTATTTGCCTTCAAAAATTCCCTCCTTTTCAGTTGGTATTTATGTTTCATATTTACATAGCCATAATGAATGTGACATATATAAGTTTAAATAAAATATCATTTTATTATTTAGGTGTTATGATAACAACTGTCAATTTAATGAAAGCTCGTAGATTCACTTCATAAATAACATTATGAGAAAATATTATTTATTCATAAATTTACAACTGTTACACGTTCCTATAGGAATAGGTACAAAAAATCTATTGTTTAAATATAGAATATAACATTACTTGTTATATATTCAACACGAAATACTACTCATTTGTAATCACTTGATTATTTCTTCCAATCATCAACACATAATGTCAATTATTAGTGTCACGTGAAGTATGACATTCTCAAGCGAATGATGGAAAAACAAATAGTTCTATCATATAGATATTTGAAGTCTTGGTCAAGTCAGACATCCTCAACTTGGTGAGATTAGAGGAGCAGTTTCTCATTCGGTGGCCAATTTCAACTATGATAGAAACAAAATTAATCATTTAGGTCATTTCTTGATTTCTGGGTTAATGTTGTATTTCCCTTAACGGAACCATGTGTCTATTAGAGTATATAATCTCTTAGATTTTAATTTTATTTAATGTTTAAACATATTTGAAGCTCTTTCTACTGTTCATAACGAATATATCTGCTTTACTTGATGAGACATCTGACATGTTTCATAATTATCTAATACTTTCTGCAAGTCAAGGTTAATTACTCTCATATTAAGTGAGACACATCAATATCATCACAATAATACTTCCATCAATGTATCATGATTAGGCTGACTGGTTTGCAGAGGTTGTTCAGGTATGGGATCTTTTAGTGTATATAATTTCTATTTATCCTTAAGGAAAAACCTCAAGGTATTATTCCAGTTATAGAAATGATAACCATCAAATGTTACTATCTCTTGAAACTTAACAAGAGAGAGATTTTTTAGGGCGTAAGAGTATTAACAATTATTAATAGAATTTAACAAAGTTTCATTTAGTACTTTAAATGTTAAGTCTTTAAAAATTAATACATTTTTTGTTTTGATAACATTAAGTTACCAAAGTCTAAGACACATGTAATGAAAAAAGTAAATAGTTAGGTGACCTTTATCCGATTAATTAATTAAACTCGTTAGCTAACGATTACTAATTGCATAAGATATATAACTCCTAGATACTGGGATCCTAAACAGCTATTTATAAACATGGCATGCTTATCCCATTTATACTTCGAACCTCTCATGCTTAGGTGACCTTTATCACACAAGATTCCGATCAAGTCATACTACTTGAAACAACTTGTAGTATTGCAACTTACCAGTGACAAGGTGACCATTTAGTCACTAGAAACTAAAAAACTACCCGGAACATCATAAGAAAATCCTAATGACCATGTGATCTTGTGCCACCAAGACCATACAAATAATACCAAGTGTTCTTCAAAAGGATGGCAGTGACATGCATTTTTAAGACAATATTATATATATACATACATATATATATATATATATATATATATATATATATATATATATATATATATATATGTTTTGCAATTATAGTTTTAAAAACATGGTCTCATGAATATTGTATGCATCCAACAATTCATGTACCCTTTTGTAAAAATTCATATCACTTGTTATATGGTTCTTTAGGAACGAAATAAAACTTCATTTTTTTTAGCATTAGCTGTAATCAAATTAACACAAATCCGATATTTTAAAGTTACTCGTAGAACGGTTTTAAGAACCGGTAGTAGTCTTAATAAAACTTCATTCTATACTTAAGACTTGGAGTTTTTGATGAGTCCTAAAATCACAATTTTAAATCTCCTTTTAACAATCAAAATCTTATGGGTTTATGAATTAGAAAAATAAACTCATTTTATTTAATAAAGTCAATTTTATGCATCTGATGACAAAAGTCATATTTTGATAAACCAAAACATAGATGATGATAGTTTTGTTTTAAATCTCATTTGGAATTCATAAAACATAATATTAGCATGTTGCGTTATGTTTGAAAAGCTAATATCATATATTAAGTTACGATGTAAAAATAATCACTAGTTTTAATATTTTGCATTTATAAGGCTATAAACCGATTTTAGTCTTTTTAATAAATACTCATTATTTATTGTAAGTACATGGAGATTATATAAAGTTTAAACTTCTTTTCAACCATTTCAAATGTTTTCAAGTTGGTTATTTCTAAGTTTTACAATAGAACTATTTTCTACAAAAACATTATTTTTAACCGTTAAGCGGTAAAAGTCTTTTTATAAATATTCATTTATAAACATGTTATGTTATATTTTAAATATTTTTTGCTCAAACTCGAAGTGATATTATCTTACGTTAAAATGTTATTTGGCATGTAAAACTCATCTTCTTACACAAAACATAACATACACTAACATAAAAATAAACATCACATGTATACATTCTAATATGTATAAATCAAGCCATGCATAGTAATAATTTTTGTGAGCCATCACAATAATTATTAAGTATTTTCTAAAGGACTTAAGGGACTCTTCAAATGGTTTTCAAGATCACACTTTCCAAGACAACTCTTTGCTTGCAAAAAAGAACTTCAAGTATCCATGTTGTAAAGGTTGCAACACTTAAACCATTAAGACTATAATTAAGCCCAAAACCAAAAGTAGAAGCCCATGGTTGGGATTATAGTCTCAAGTAGTTAAGTCATCTTCAAAAGGTCATCTCTTCATCTTGTTACATTTAAAAATAAATACAACTAGTCTAACTAATTTATTATAAAAAATCAACAAATGAAAAAATTACATATTTATCTATTACCACTCATGAATAAATAAAGTGAAATCTACGAAAAAGTCCCAAACTTTTGCCCTAGTTTATGATTATTCCTAAATTAAGTTTGATTTATGAAAAAGGCCAGGTTACCGACTATTACACTCAGTTTAGCCCTTCGAATCGATAACCCTTCTATTAGCCAGTTGCCCCAGCTGACACGTCCTTATCACACTCTATTAACCTCCTTGTCATCCACTCTATAAAAACCCTTTCTTACCCTCAACCGAAGCAAAATCCTACCTCATAAGAATCAAAGATAAGAAAATCAACGTGGTCCTCCAGTATATAGTTTCCCTTATAATATTCTGATTAATTTTTGCTTTGTAGTGATAATGGAGACAGTAGATGACTTGGATACCATTGACGTGGAATTGGATGAGTTTTTCAAACAGAAACAAAGAAGTCAATGCAAAGATGAGTTCCTAAACACTCTCACAGACGTAGCGGTTGACGAATGCACCATACCTAAGATAAACCTAAATGATTTTGAAGGAATCTCGGAAGATGAAGAACCACAAGAGAAGCTTAGTGAGAGTAAGCATGACGATGAAGATAAATTGCAGTTTCAGTACTCAACTCATGATCCGAAGGTGAAATGGAAAAATATGAAGCCAGTTCGTGGGGAGAGGTATGAATCACTACATCAAAAAAGCTTTGTTTGAAAAATTACTCTATATGTATGGGTTATCCAATAGGTTCAAGAAATGTGATAATGTAAGGCTTGTGGCTGTATGTGCAAGTGACCCTGTGAAATTTTAATGTCTCTTTTTAGTAAGGGCCTCATGGATGAGCACTAAAAGATCATTCCAAATAAAAAAACTGGTTGAGCAACATACCTTTCCCTCAAGCAGCAAGCATTTACCATCAAAAAACTTCACTAAAAGCTACACAAGAAAAATTAACAAAACAAAAATATTTTTGGATTTTTGATTTTTGAAAGAAAATTACAAAAATAAGAATTTAGACTTCGATAATCACTCCAGCATTATCTAGACTTCGATAATCACGCAAGTTTTCCTTTTTCCCAGGCATGTTGCGAGAGCAACCACTATCGATATACCATTTGTCATCATATTGCTCGTCACACAAAACCTGCAATCAGTGAAAGAATTTCGGTCCCCAAGGTTGTTTGGGTCCCTGGTAATTAGATTGAAAACCATTGTGACAAGAAGATCCTATGATCCAATTACGAACTTTAGATTTGAGACTATCAATTAAGTCAACGTCATTAGTTAAAGGCACTGAAATGTAATCATTCACTGATTTATAGTTTTCACTGACTTTTGCCTTTTTCTTCTCAGTTTTTTTCTCATTAACCTTTGCTTTTTAGAATTGCTCTCCATTGTTTAACTCAAGGATTCAATTCCTTTGATGAATAACTTCCATTCGAAGATTCATTCAAATACTTTTCATAAGCATCCTTGATTTGCTTTTGACAATACTTCCCGGATTGGAATGATTTCCCTTTTCCTTCGAGCCAATGGTTAATATTTTTCACTTTTGACTTGCCTTTGACATACAAAACTTTGGAAAATTATGTCATAGGACGATTGGGAAAATTTGGTTGTTTTGGTGTGAAAGTCACATTTCTTTTAGAATGGAATTTATCAAACTTTTCATTTGAAAATGTCGTTTTCTTTTGAGAATAAAAGCGATTTTGAACATTGTTTGGATTATTAAAAATCAGTTTTGTCTTGAAAAATGATTTCGTGACAACCTTGTTTGTTGATATTAATTGAAATTCCTTGTAGTATGATGATTTGTAAACGTATTTGAAGTTTGACCTTTTGTTTGTGAATTTGTTTTAGACTGTTGAATTTTAGGCTTTGAAAAATTATTTTGTGATTTATGTGAAAACAAAACTTTTTGTTTTAGAGGGGGATTTTTCCTATTTTCCACTTTCTGTTGAGAAGAAGTTTGAACCGATTTAGACTTGTTATGTTCCGATGATTTATTTAGCATAACATTTGGTTTCTTTCGAGACTCCATAGTTTGGCAAAAAACTTTCTTTCCTGCTTGTCTTTTTGAAATACCACTTTCGTTTGAAATCCTTTCAATTTATTCCTTAAACTCTTGAGAATTAATTTTCACTTGTTGTGAAACAATGTCAACTGGCTTTGAAACATCTTTTGACTTTTCAGATTTTTCAACCCAAACTCGTTTTGGTTTTTGTCTTTGAAAAGTATATGAATTCTGTGTGAGATTGTTTTCGGCGGTATTTTGGTTTGAGAAAAATCCTTCTTTTGATGACTTCTTGTTATCCTCTTCATTCATTTTATTAAACTCAGGTTTAATTTTATCACTATTACCTGTTGTTACAAAAACCTGATTTGGAAAAATGACTTCATCTGAGCATTTGAAATTCGAATACACAACTATATTTGTCTCAAGGTAATGAGAACCTTTTTCCTTCATTATTGTGTCGAATTTCATAGTTTCTTCAAAAACCTGATCAACAACAACCCTTGGAATTGTTGTCTCTTTCGGAACATCATCACAGTCATCATCACTATCTGTTTGACTATCTTCGAGAGTCACATGGTCAAGATTACAAACTTTAAAGATGAAGGTTGAGTAGTGTCAACTTTAATCGTGGAATCATTACTATTTTCTTTGCCTTTAGCCACTGAAGTGACATTAATGATAGACAACTGAGAACAATCAATAACTTCCTCCTCTTCAATTTCACTAATATCATCATAATCATATTTGATATCAGCATAATTCGTTTAAGAGTCATATTTCAAATTCTCAGTTCTTTTCAAAATCTTTATTTGTTCATTTTTGTTCAAAGTCTCATTTACAATATCAACTAATTCATTAGCCTCCAAACATTCATCAATCTTCACTATTCCATATGCATATCTATTATCTGGAACCCTATCGAATTCATCAATTGTCTTCTCACAATCATAGCAAATATAGTCTATTTTCTCCTATCAAATGCTACAAAGGGCAAAAGTTTCCTATGTTGCTCTTTTCTAATATTCAATGAATGATGCAATGCTGTCAATTTACCATATAAAAGTTTGGCTGAGTTACAGTAGATATTTCTTTGTTTTAATAACAATTTAACATCATCACTCAAACTGTCCCTATCACACATCAGATTCGTTATTTTCATATCTTAATATTCTATTTTCACTTTCTTTGATTCCAACATCCTCTAAGATTTGTGTGTCCGACTTCTTAGCATCATTACTAGCAGAAATAAGTAGATCATTAACATAAGTAATGGCTGCATCAAACTCAGATAGAATCGAATCATATGCACTAGTGGGAATATTACAAGATTGTAAAAGAGAATGTACCTGAGAAGTCATTGGTGCTTTGTATGAAGATGTCGAAACAAAGCATTTCCCAGTAATTTTCTCTTCCTCTTCTTCCTCATGCTTCGCGAACATAGCCCCGTGGGTAGGGTTTCACATCTCTTCATCATCAGAACCAGATGACCAAATATGGTATGTTCCATCTTCTTCATCCACACCTTTGGCCACCAAAGACAATCCCTTCGTCCTTGCATGCACGTCTTCCAACTTTTCAACATAATAAGCTTCATCTTTGACCTTGTTCTTCTTTTCTTCACGCTTTCTCAACATACAGTCACTGACCATATGATTCGTCCCATTGCAGTAATGGCATTCGAATCCAAAATCACCTTTCAACTTTTTTCCTTTTTTCTCTTCCTCAACACGAATCTCATTTTTCTCAATCTTCTTTTCTTCACTCCCAGACTTTCTAGCAAAACATCCCTTCATTTCACTTGTTTTCGACTTTGCAATAAAAGGCTTCTTGAAAAAATTCTTTACTCGATTGTTTGAGTAAAATGCAACAGCTTTGTCATCAGAGTTGACGATCGGACCTTCATCCTCCGAATTTTCCTTTTCTGCAACCTCTTCCTCAACTTCCCTTCCAGTAACTTTCGAAACAAGTGCAAGTGGACCTCCTATACTAATCTTCGATTCCACAGCAATTACTTACACTACGGACTCATGTGCTTTCATCACATTGTAAAGATCATTCAGAGCGAAATAATCAAAGCTTTGATGTGTCTTTATCATGAGGCTCACATTTCTCCATTCCTTCCGAAGACCCATGATGAATGTGAGATTGAACTCCATTGTTGATCGAATGACTCCATGTTGGTTACATTTGAAGATTAACTCGTTCAGACGATCATAATATGATTCAATGGTCTCTCCTTCCTTCTGCTTAAATTCTCTTAACTCAAACAGACATTGCTTAACAGTACTGATCTTCGTCTTTTCGCTTCCTTGATATTTTTCTTTCAAATATCCCAAATTTCTTTTGCAGTTTTACAACTACGCACGTAATTGTAACCAACAGGAGGAAGAGCACCTCTGAGTTCTCTCATACACTTTGTGACAACCCAAACCTTTTTTCGTTTCCATTAACCGATTTCAGTTAATAGAATTTGAATTTTGTTGAGTTTCCGTCAAACTTCTTGGTTTAGAAAATCATCTAGTTTTATATATTTAAATTTTAGAGGCGAGTCGAAAACAAAATCACGCGAAAAACCCGAATCTTCTTGAAAAAGTAGCAGTTTTCGGCCTAAGTGAGTTTACGTCCGTAAACCCGTTTACGGTTCGTGCCAGGTGGACCCCACCACCGACCATACCCCGGTCTATATATACGGGACCCCCACCTTCATTTGAACCTTCTTGGCCAAAAACTCTCTCATTCTCTCTCTCTCTACCTCTTGACCGTAAACCCTAAAAACACCCTTATTCTTCCGAAAATCATCGATAATCGTCATTGGTCAATCATATAAACTATGACAGCTTTAGTTCTTGAGTGTACGACCGTACACCCATCAAGTCTGCAAATCTTCATTGAACGTAAACTAGTTCACGACCGTACACACTTAAAACCTTCAAAGGCCGTACACCCTTCAAAGAGGCTATGCACGGCCGTAAACTCTCTTCACGGCCTTAAACCCCATTCACGGTCGTAAACACTTCCTTAGTGGTGCATTAGACTGAAAACCCACTTTCCTCGATTCAATCAAGTCCCGGTAACATTCCTTAACCGAAAGCAAGTGTTTTTCTAACACTTTATCTAACGAAATCACTAATTTAGATACATATATGTATTTAATTGTTATTAGGCTTCCGTTAAGTGCCACGTACAACAACTCGAGGGTTTTCGTTTCCAGTTCGTTGATTCGACGCTTGCACACAACTAACAGTGAGTTCATACCCCTACGCTTTTATGATTTTTAACGTTTTCAGGGGGAATACAAGCTAAACACAAACGATTTTTGAAAACTAAAACAAAAGGATCTCAACAAGTTTAAAACTTATGCAATTAATTCAGTCCAATGATTTCTACTAAATATATAGATATTTTATCCCTTTTGTATTACGCGGAGCATAAGGGACACTTTCAGCTAGATAACATAATTGCATAGTTTTCAGAATAATACACAAACCAAGTACAATAGATTTCAGGCAAACTATAATAGGTATAGTTTGGGGAGTTTATCACACAGTTTTTACCAATCCAGATTTCATACATGGTCAATCATATAAACTATGACAGCTTTAGTTGATGATATTCATTACTACATTTAGATAACAAGAGTATAACACCAAATAATTATTTAAGTATAATTATTAATACTCTATCAAGTATACAAACGGTTTCCAATCACGAGAGAACAATACAGAACTACACGTAAACCAGTTAATACAGGATTGTGAGACATCTCTTTAATTGTACCCTTCTGGGTACTGGTA